AAAATTTTTTTTTTGGTGTTGAGTTGTATAAGATCTTTATACATTTTTAATATTAACCTCTTATCATTGGCAACATGTTCTCCCCATCAGTGGATTTTCTTTTAATTTTGTTGATGGTTTCTTTGCTGTGCAAACACTTTTAAGTTTGATGTAGTCCAACTTGTTTATTTATCTTTTGTTTCTCTTACCCAAGGAGATATATCAGAAAAAATGATGCTACGAGAAATGTCTGAACTTTTACTGCCTATGTTTTCTTCTAGGAATTTTATGGTTTTGAGGTTAACATTTAAGTCTTTAATCCATTTTGAGTTTATTCTTATGTATGGTGTAAAAGGTGGTCTCGTTTCATTTTTTTGCATGTATCTGTCCAATTTTCCCAGCATCATTTACTGAATAGACTATCTTTACCCCATTGTATGTTTTTGCCTCTTTTGTCAACTATTAACCGGGCATGGGCTTATTTCTAGGCTCTCGATTCTGTTCCGTTGATCTATATGTCTACTTTTACATCAGCACCGTGCTGTTTCGAGTATTGTGGCCTTGTAGTATAGTTTGATATCAGATAGTATGGTTTATTCTTCTGTCTCACGATTACTATGGCTGTTTGGGGGTTTTTGTGGTTCCATATCTGATTTATTCTAGTTCTGTGAAATGTGCCATTGGTATCTCGATAGGAACTGCATTAATCCTACAGGTTGCTTTGGGTGGTGTGGACATTACAATGATGTTAATTCTCCCTATCCATAAACACAGTGCATGTTACACTTATTTATATATTCTCCATTTTCTTTCTTCAGTGGCTTATAATTTTCTGAGTACAGGTCTTTTACATTTATGGTGAGATTTACTTCCCGGTATGTTATTATTTTTTTTTTTTTATGAAATTGTAAATGGAATTGTTTTCTTAGTTTCTCTTCCTGAGAGCTCATTTTTGGTGTATAAAAATGCAACCGATTCCTGGATATTGGTTTTTTTAGATTGCTAGTTTACTGAATTCATTTATCAGTTCTAGCCGCCATTTTTGGTGGAACCTTCAGAGTTGACAATATCACATCATCTGCAAATAATGACAGTTTTGCTTCTTCCTTTACACTTTGGATGCCTTTTATTTCTTCTTCTTGTCTGATTGCTCTACCTCTTCATCTCTTACAACTAGAAAATCTAAACAATTGAGTTATTCCATGGATTATTATAGTTTCACTTTTACTGAATTAACTAAATGATTGAAGAAAATGTGAATATAATTTTTTTTCTGAGTTTCAGTGAATTTCCTCCATAGAAAATTACAACTTTTGTATCTTGTATAGATTGAGCTATACATGCCTATACTGGATGATTAGGCAAAACAATCTCATTTAAAACTGTGACTGTATTTAGGGTTTTGTGGTCCCTTGTCTCACTTTCTTTGCTCTCCAATGCACACTGATTACTGAGGGAAAAATATCTATTTTCCCTCCGGTTCTTTTATCTAGTTCTCATCAGGGTTTGATTTAACGTGACATCCCCAATAGGCATAAGGGCAAGATCAGAAGATGCCTGATGATCCATCAGATAATGAGCTTGGAGCCGTTCAGAGAGGGCATTGCTTTCTTAGCAGAACTGGTTGGAATTAGCCACTTTAGAGGTAGCTTTTGTCTAAGAACACATGTGTACTGTCACTGATGACAGAATAGAGACTTAAGGATATTATCAAGAAAATTGGATTACAAGTGGAGACATTAGAGTATGGCCCGAGTATTAAGAAATTATTGTTCATTTTGTAGGAGTGATAATGGCATTCTGCTGATGTAGGAAAATGTCACTCGCAGTGAAGTATTTGGGAGAGAAATGCATATCTGTATTTTTTAGAGTACTTTAGCAAAACAAAAAAGAGATGTTATCAAGTATAACTAAATGTTAATAACTACTGAATAGAGATGATGTATGCATGGGTGTTTACATTTTCCATTTTCTTTGTAAAAAAAGAAACCCCACCTAATTGAGATAGTATTTTTGTATATGCACAAGAGGGGAGCAGGGATTTAAAATTTCTCGGAACTGATGTTCTGAAATAGGGCTTTAGTTCTTGGAATATGGTCGGTAACTCATAAACCAGCATAAAATGAAAATCCTGTGCAAAATTACTATTTTTTAAATTGCATTTAAAATTCTAGAGTTGAAACTATAATAAAAGCATGGTGGACATTTCAAAATGTAGACATCCTCATTTTTATTTACCTGAACTAAATGCTGAAAAGTTTGGTTTCTGACCTCAGGGTGAGTGGGATGTTCCTTGAGGAAGGTCACAGTAATACATAGGTTTGGGAAACTTAGATTCTCAGATAAGAACTTGGGAGGAAGTAAGTGTAGCCAGAATCATGGTATAAGCCAGTGATAGCGAACCTTTTGAGCTCGGCGTGTCAGCATTTTGAAAAACCTAACTTAACTCTGGTGCCGTGTCACAGATAGAAATTTTTTGATATTTGCAACCATAGTAAAACAAAGACTTATATTTTTGATATTTATTTTATATATTTAAATGCCATTTAACAAAGAAAAATCAACCAAAAAAATGAGTACGCGTGTCATAGGTTCGCCATCACTGGTATAAGCGAATCGAACATCTGAAGTTAATGACATAAATTATGAAAATATAAACCGTAGCGAGATGATTTTATTTTAGTCTTTGGAATTACCAGATTAATGAGCTTCTTAATCATGCTTCTTTTGTCTTTTGAACAGTAGCTGCGTCTACCCAAGTGATGTGATACTTGTTTGCTATGTTAGCATGGTATCTACTTATACGTGTGTTTATTTACTTATTGCCATGAGGCCACAGAAAGAAAATAAACCTCTACTAGTGAGAGGATCATTTAGATGGCAAAATTCTGGTAGAGCCCAGCTTCCATTAGGTTGACTTCAGGGTCTTTGATTCTTTGCTCCTCACAAATGCATGGCCTCATCTACTGTTATCATCGCCTTTAACACATTACATTGACTTAAAAATACAAGTGTGACCTGTACAACCCTTTTGAGCCCCAGTTTGGTTTATACAGGGGCGAGAATATTTCCTTTTAAAAACCAGTTTCTTTTTCAATTAATAAATATAATGTTTTGAAATATGGGGCTCATGTTTCATCAAATCAGTATCACCATTTGAAATGACTTTAAACCTACACTTGCTGAAACCGGTTTGGCTCGGTGGATAGAGCGTCGGCCTGCGGACTGAAGGGTCCCGGGTTCGATTCTGGTCAAGGGCATGTACCTGGGTTGCGGGCACATCCCCAGTGGGAGATGCGCAGGAGGCAGCTGATCGATGTTTCTCTCTCATCGATGTTTCTAACTCTCTATCTCTCTCCCTTCCTCTCTGTAAAAAATCAATAAAATATATTAAAAAAAACCAACAAAACAAAAAACCTACACTCAACATGGAGGTGATTTTCAATAGACATAAAGCCTCCGGTAAACTTGGTGCTGGTGATTTACTGGTACACAGTCCAGCTGTGTGACAGGAGGAGCGGGCAGGCAAATCCAGAGTCCCTGATTTCAGAAATTGGCTCTTTAGCCAGAGAAGGAGTATGGTTCAATAGGAAAACCCTGGACTAAGAAACACAAGATGAGGGTTATTTTAAAGTCTTAAAATTTAAGTGTGTCTGTGAAGTTAGCGTGATATTAATAAGTGGTATTTTTTAAAGAGCAGGGTGCATTATTTCTAGTTTTTTCCAGTTCTAGTTTTTCTACTAACTACTGACCTCAGGGTCTTCATCTGCAAACTGCAAGCGCTTATTAAATAATTGCTAACATTTCTTCAAACTATTCACTCTCTGCCCGGCACGGTGGTGAGTGCCTTACATTAAATTTTTAAAATTCTCACAACTCCATAAAATAGATTATTCTGATTATGCCTCATTCATCAATGAGGAGACTAGACATTCTGAGATAATCAAGTGCAGGGTGATCAATGAATTTTAGAAGTGGGAGGGTCCAGGAAAATAATTTAAACCGAGAGGCAACCGCGCCCGGCTAGCTCAGTCGGTAGAGCATGAGACTCTTAAACCGAGAGGCAGTGCATCAAAATGATTAAGGGCGCAAACGCTATACCCAAAATGTGTGGCTTGCAGACGTGGATCCCTCCCTCAGTAAGAATACCCCTTGGGCAACTGACTTAACCTTTGTTTGCCTTAATTTCCTCATCTGTAAAATGGGGCTGATAATAGACCTGCATTATAAGGTGATTAGGATTAAATGTGCATTGCTTAGAGCAGTGTCTGTCAGCTAGGGAGTCCTCAGTAAATGTTACCGATGAGGATGACAGCAGGGGCTGGGCAAGTAGACACTATTGTTTTACTGAGGAGAACGTGTGACATTAAGAGATTAGGTCAGAAAAAGGCTGCTGCTGCTGGTGGTGGTCTTGATGGAAAGGATGGAGTTATTCGTGATACAGAATGGTTTCTTAGAGAGGCAAGGAAGTAGGTTGAAGAAGCAGAGCAGAGGGGATTGCTGTCCTAAAGAGGCAGGAAAATCTGTGTTATATTGTCATTGAGCAAAAAGTTTATAGGAATGCGGTGACAGCAGTAAAACATAGAAATGAGACGCAAATTTGGAGTCTTAGATGGAGTTATTCCAGTTTTTCTGGATCATCCTAGACACATACAGAACGTGAGAGCTAAATGGGACCTTGGAAATGATCCTGTGACACCCCCTCATTTCACATTTTACTCTTTCTATGAGGATAGCATTTGGTGAAATTTGGCCAGTATCACAGTACAGTGAAGCCAGGGAAATGTGTGATGTGCTAAAAGAGGGATTTCAAGTAAGGATGAAGGGAAAGAAGGCGCAAGTTCCTTCACTTTTAGAGCAGGAAAGCAGAGTGGAGAAGACAGTGAATTTTCCCAAGTTAAAAGAGGGCGAGAGGGAAGAAGGAGAGCTAATTTAATGCTCAACAGCGTTAGGCTGGATTTGCAGTTAATGTTTAAAAAGCCCATGATAAAGAAAATTCTTTTATTATTATTATTATTTCTAGGAACTTGGTTTTCTAAAATGGAAAGGAAGTTTGGGGGAAGAGTTTGGCACCCTTGACGGTTCCAGCAAGTGAAGAATCAGCCCATCTGCAGCTGGTGTTGAAACTAGTAAGCAGTTAATGTGCATCTATTACGCTGTTACTGTTTAGGATGACTATATCTTGGCTTTTAAAAAAAACCACTTTCCACTAAGTTTATGCGTGGTGCTTTCTTTTAAGTAACTGAGTGTCTCAATAGGAACTACTGAGTCCGATTAATTTGGCGTGGAATTTTGGCGTGGAATTCTGAGCTGGGGAGGGGGCAGGTATCCTTTTTTGGGACACTAAAAATGCTTTGTGGAGTTTCCTTTACAACTCTCCAAGCCGGGGAGTTGCTCTGAGGGGCTTAAAGGCTCCCCACTGTGCTTGCTCCCCAGTTACAATAGCATTGGGTTACTGAATGAGGACTAGATTGTCTGTTTACACGGAGAAAAAGAAGCTTACAGCACGGAGGCCAAAGCCAAGATAAGATGTTTATGTCTCTGAACCCACTTGTGTATTATTCTCGATTAAAAAAAAAAACCAAAAAACATCTACCTGCCATGTCAGTAATTTTAGAAAGAGGCTTTTAGTTTGTCATTTTTTTTTTTTTATTAAAAAAGAAAAACATTGCTGTTATTTCTGCCCATATTATTGTCTGTGCTGTTGTGGGGTTTGAGGACATTGGAGGCTCTCTGTACTGCACCCCTCCACCTTGCCCAATATCACAGGCCTCCTCCACGGCGGGGAGAAAGGTTGCAGGAAAACGGGTAGAGCTGAGGAATAGATGTCATGTTAATTCAAGTCTTTTTTCGGGGGGGGGGGGGTGTCTTTTTTTTCTCTCTCTTTGATCCTGACTCCTCTGCCTGCTCTGACTTCAGCATCTGCTTGTTGTTGGGTGATGGAATCAAGTTAGAGGTGTGCAGTTATGTGCTTCCCTTCAGTCCTTCAGGAGCTATGGCAAGGTGAAAGGAAAGCAGGGCTCAGGCTTTGAGTCTGGGGGGAGACCTGGTGGGCCATGTTGCATCTGCCCTAGAAACTGATTGGGCCTGCGAGTGGCCAACTCTCCTACCCTCATCAAAAACTTCCACTTTGCACTTGCAGAGATCATTTGTACCATAAAGGTCACATCCTTTGAAAATACGGCTTTGGAAGTGGAACGTAGGCAACAGTGACGTAAAGGAGAGGAATTTTTTTGTGCTCATGCATGTGAATTTCATAGGTTCTATATTGCGCTGAAGTATCAAGGTTAGTTATGAGGAAGATACTTTCAAAGATGTGAATGGTGATATCTGTGGTCGGCTTCTTCTTTATGGTCCTAACTTACCTAAGGTCTCCTCTATATTCAGATCCCAAACGGGGCATTCTGGTGAAGAACAGGAAGTAGCTAGGGTCTGATGAATGGAGGGGCCTGCAAATATTTATGTTTGGAGTATGGGGAGGTAGCATTAGCCACATTGTGACATATGCATCAAAACGCAGAAACAAAATCCGAATACACCCTCAAATGTTGGGGAGAGGTATGATAGGCAAATCTTGTTTAAAAAAAAAAAAAAGCTATGTGGGGTATGGTACAATCCTAGGGAAGAATTGGAAAACAGATCTAGGAAGAAGAAGCATTAATTCTCACTTTCCTCTTCTAGAATTTGAAATAATAGATCCTTGTGTAAAATTAGGGGAAATGTAAGGAATCTGAACATTTTCTAAGCAGAAGATGATTTTTCTTTGGAGAGAAGGCATGTGAGTTAATGAATGTAAATCTGCGTTAAAATGGAGAGAATATTATGAGCAGAAAGAGGGAGAAGGACAAGGAGGATAATTGTTTTAATAAATTCAGCCTAAATCTTACTCTGTCTTAAAGTATTTAATGTTTCCATCGTAGAGTACGTAGTGTTTTAATGATCTCTTTTTGGAGAAATTGATTTAAAAGCCTTTAAAAGTTAGAAAGTTTAGGGTTTAGATTTTTTTCTTTCACTATTTATTAGAAATTTAGACTATAGAATCTATGTATAAACCAGGCATTATTATGTATTAAAAAAGGATCTTAAAACATATAAGAATAGTTAATAACTTAAATATATTGAAAGAGTACTAAAACTATTCAGTCATAAATAAGACCCACAAGACATGTCAATGGCAGAAACCACCTTCTTACAATGGTTCTGTAATAAAGTTTAAAACAGGATGATATTTTAATTGACAGCTTTGATTTAATTATATTTAAGCCTTGTTGTCTAAAATTAGGATAAAAATTTTAAATATTCATTATCCTATGTTATTATTTTTCACAGACTAGAAGAAAAAATAAGAAGTTTTATCTCCTGAAGAATTGGGGAGACTCTTTTAAAGGTGAAACTTTTCATCTTTAGGTAAGGAAACATTTTCTATTATTTATCTACCTGTTGAAAAGAGAATATTTCAATTAGAAGAAAGAAGTAACATATACTTAAGCTTTGCTCATCTTAATTGATATAAAACATTATGAAGGTGATAGAAAGCCAGATTTTTAAGTTAAATAAAACAAATTAGTTGGAAATATTTCACTTAGAAAGATCATTTTTTGCGGGGGGGGGGGGGGCATTTTTTGCACTTTCTAATAGACTGACACGATAATAGGAGTCCCACCATCTGTCTTGTCTGAGTATTTAAGAGAAAACAAAGTTAAAATCACATTTAGCAAAATCAGGAACTAGAGATTTTTCAAACACTTAGAATATTCCTAAACATAAATGTAAATATGTGTGATATTAAAAAAAAATGGACTATTGTGAAAATGTGAATGACTGGTCATTGCTTTATAAGCTGGCCAGTGAATGAAAGTTAATTAGGATTTGGGCAATAACAGAGAAGCATAAACTCTGGGATATATTCCCATGCTAGGAAAATATTGCTTCTTAGGATCATAATGTAAATAAACAATTTGTTTAATCAGGCAAGAACCTGTCCTTTGTTTTTCAGTTTTGGTTTGTGTCATAGTGGTAACTTAAGAAAAGAAAAAGACTAACTTTTTGAGCATATTAGAATATTAGCAACTAATTTAATTTTTGAAGTAATTCTATTAATGCATTTTACTTCAATGAACAGTATAAATTACATATATGAAAAGCAGATGTTTTAAAGCAAATAAACTAAAAGATGCAATTAAAATGTCTAAACAAACATTTAGGGATGCTTTGAAGTATTTTATGAAGTTAAAAGGATGAAAGATGTTATTATGGAAATTATATATAGAATCTGTTATAAGATATAAAAATTTGTATATTCTAGCTTTGTTACCAATACCACATTTGGAAAAAAAAATAGATTACTATATTTGTCTTCTATTAACATATATTCTCAAGAGTAAACAAGATTCCTTCTAATTTTAAATACATTAATAAAGGTACATATGAGTACTTTTGAAAATCAGAGGTCAGAGTTTTAGGTTTTTAAGAAATACAGGTAAAAATGCATGTGGTTAAATAGAATCTAAAAATTTTGACAGAAATATACTAATTTTTTTGTATGAATTTGGAGAATTTATTTCTAGAATAAATTTGTTTTCTTCTTAAAAAGACAATCATGTTAATATTGAGCATATAGGTTAAAACTTCATTAGGATATACTAAACTTCTAAGTTACTTTATAAAAGAGAATTATGATAACCTGAAAAGAGTATATAAAATTATGTCTAATGTAATCTTTAAATAAAGCCCTTTAATATGCTGTATCAATTTTAAAATCTTATATTTTGAAGGATAAAGTAAAAGAAAACATGACTAACATCCTAACGGAAAATATAATCTCATAATACTGAGAAGAGAGCTGTAAGCATATAATACATGAGGAGATCAGTTTCACTTCTGACTTATTTTTAAGCCTGTCTTATGAATCATATATTTTAACATCAGGAGAATAATGTACAAAATATGCATTTAATCCTATGGTCTGTTAAAAATAGAGAGGAGAAAATGCAACTTTGCCTAGCTAAATCCTAACTAAGGTGTTAAGTGAAAATTAGAAAAATACAGAAGCTAAAATAGTATCATTAACTAAAATTCAAAATCTATATTTATACACAATTTTTTATGTCTTGGTATATAGCATTTATTTAATGCTAATATAACTACAGTAACTGCAACATAAGTGACAAAATAAATGATGGAGAAGTATTTTCTCACTGTAGGTTACTAGATTAAAAAATTGCTAATAAGTTAAATGTAATATTAAGGGACACGTTTAAAATAAAATTTTGCTGTGGATGTATCTTCCCAACAAGGCTTTGGGTTTTGTGTGTGCATTAGGATTTCTGAGTTTTGTGATCTGAAATTCATGATATATTTTGAGTGCCCTTTCAAATGGCAAAATGTTTCTGTGGAAAAAAATCAGACATTGCGTACATTTTGTTTTATATTTGGGTATGAGAAACACAGCAGGTACTTTGGGTGAATTCTAGTTGTTATTTTAGTGCATGCATCAAATACCAAACAATTATTTCGTCTGTCGGTCAGTTCCATGTCTAAGCACGTTACAGTTCGTGTAAGTAATCTTAGATAGTTAACTTTCATTGATGACACAGTGATCTCTAAACGTGATTGTCATCGTTACTGAAATTATGGGCAATGTATTGCAAAGAGATGCATTTTAACACTTATTTTTCATTAAAATGAGAAAGATTTTGAAGGGGTTCTTTCGTGAGTAAAATATGGAATTGTGCAGCTTTCTGAAAGAATGAACTCTTAGTTTTATTTTCAAATTATATTGAAATGTTTATTTACTTGTCGTTTGCTGATTTTTTAAAGCCAGAAAGGAGCAAAGCAGCATTATACGTTATTTCTGATCATTCTTTCTATCCCTGGAGAGGGAGAAAGGGAAAGCAACATATGTTGGCACAATAGTGTTTTCCCTTAAAAACAAACAAACTTGAAATTGAAAAGATATGCTGCCCATACCTAATTGTTCTAATTAGGACTTACTTGGAGTCGCATGCATTTCCTGAATCCATATATTTGAGGACATGTCTGTCTTATGACATGGAGAGATGTAGCACATGGTAGTCAGATATAGGACAGTCTTGCTCTCTCTTGAGGATTCCCAGAACTTAGAACACAGATTTTAAACTAACCATGTCGAGTCCCAAAACCTCTGGGCCATAATCATTTAGATAGAAACATGCCCGAAAAGTATAAAGGCGAAAGGGAACACTGGTTGAAGTTGAACGTTCCCTTTAAAGGATATACATTGGGCACAGGGAGGAGTGCTCCAAAGATAAACAAACGGCGCTTTTCTGGGGAGCTGCGGGGGTCTGTGTGATAAAGGAGCGCGGCGAGGTCGCACAATGGTAACTGCTTGGCAACATTTGCAAAGTTCGTCTCGGATTGAGCGGGTGAAAGTCAGTGCAACCATTGGGTGCGGGGGGAGGGAAGGGGGAGCAGGTGGCCAGCTTCCGGCCACGACGGGGTTAACCGCGGCGAGCCCGGTGCACTCTGGGAGTTGTAGGCCGCGGGCATTGTGGGAGTTGTCGCAAAAGTTCGCTTTCCTGTTGTGATGGCCGCCGCCGAGGCAGGAGTTGAGGGTGTCTGTGTTTCCGGGCGTCTGGGGGGCTCTCTGTACCGTCAGGAGGCCGCCAGCAGCCCCCGGGTGGCCGAGGGCCTTTTCATCGTGAGCCCGGGACCCGGGCGAGCGGCCCGGCGAGCGGGTGGAGGGGCCTAGGGGCCGCCGGATGGGCCAGGGGGCCTCTGGAGGCGACAGGCTCCACGAGGGGTCCCGTCCTGGAGGACCCTGGCCGTCGAAGGGCCTTCCGCTAGGAAATATCGGGGCGACCAGCGTCTCAGGGTCCTGGGCTGTGCTTCCTTTCGTTGTAGTTTCTGCCCTGCGCCCCTCCCCCTTTTCTTAACAGAGGTCGGCTCTGTCTGTGTCGCCAGTGATGTTCACGACACTATTTGGGGTTGGGTGGGCTCGCTTTCTAGGGTCCGGTGGGGTTTATGCACGAGGCGGGGATGTTGGGAGGTGTGGACAGCAAATATTCGGGGTGTCGTCTGCCCCGTTTCAGGGTTAAGAGGTTGCACTGAGCAGTGAGCGTGTCCCTGGACGTGAGGTTGGCGTTGGCTGCACGTGCTGGACCTTGAGCTTGTGCCCGGCAGCGTCCGGCCGTTGTGAAATGTTTTTCTGTTGACTTGGATGTGTTCTTAAAGCTTTGGGGTCCCCAGAACACTGCTTTTTGTTTTGTTTTTGTTTTTGTTTTTGCAGTTATGTGTAGAAAGCTATGGTGTGCAGAAATGAATGGAAAACAAAGGCTAGCATCGCAGGTACCTTTCGTTCTCGGGCGCGAGGGCCCTGGGCTTCTCCAGTGCTGTGAAGTGGTCCTGGTGCTCTATGGGGATCTGGTTTGCTTTGAGCTCCGCCGCCTGAACCCTGGTTCGCGGGGTGCTCTGCAGGTCGGGGACACTTCGATCTCCTTTGCCCTGGGGTCCTCTGTCAACCTGAGGCCAAGTGGGACACCGCCGACATGCAGCTGCCTGTGTCAGGATCTCGGGGTGACATCGGTTGCCAGGCAGGGCAGCACTCACCTGCCTGTGCAGACTTGGACCTCACTCTTTCTGCCGCCGGGCACTGCTGTACAAATTTTGCCTTATTTCGACAGTCTGCTTGTTTCATGCGTAACTGGAGGCTTAACAGGTCATGAAAAGCCATTTCATAATGTTACCTAAAAGTTGTTTTTCCCCCCCAACAGGTAAAACTAGTGTCCAGAAAGTTTTTTCACTTGTTTGGTGAAGTAGGGGATTTGAAAGAAGGTACAAGAGTGATTTTGGAAATCAGCGATCAGTTTTTTAATTTGGGGCTAGGCCACATGATAGAATTGATTTAAAGAGAGAGAGAGAGAGTGTGTGTGTGTGTGTGTGTGTGTGTGGTGGGGGGGAGGATGTGTTGCATTGTTTTTCTTGGCATTTTAGAGCTTAGAAAACCTGTTTCTGGGTCATTGCGTTGGACCTCTTTCATGTATCATTAAACTGCCTTTTGATGTTTTGTAATGAGCTGGTTTTTCATAATTCCCTTCTTGTCTGGGTTTGCTTAGTACTTGACTACTTGAGAATATAGTAATGGTAGAGAAAGGAGCAGAGCTGGATGGATGTGTGTGTGTGTGTGTCTCCTGAAGGTTATTTCGGGTATAGCTTGCTAGACTGATATTGTTGGCATGCCAGTCAGGTCCCAGAAAAGTATTTCCTTCTCTCTGACCTGACCCCAGTGTGTCTTGGAATATTAACTAACTTGCCAATTGAAAAAAAATTTGGGAAATTTATCTTAAAAAGACCAATAGTGTCCATATCTGTTACTGTTTGGTGGTGAGTAAAATATTGGTAAGTTGGTTTTGTATTTTAGGAAAACTGGA